CACATAGTGGGTGGGGTTGTGGTGTAAAGTGAGAGGGTGATAATCAAGCCTCAGGGTCAAAGACACCCCTGAGAATTCCTGAGGCCACGAGGAGGTCTGATGCCATGTCCCTTAAGGTGGCCTCACAGCCCGTCCTTCCCGTGTGGGACAAGAGGGCAGTTTCCCTCTGAGCCCTGGATGAAGTCATTGGCTGGGTTAGGGACCACAGTTGTACCAAAAAAAAAAAAAAAAAAACCACACAAATCAGCTTGAACCTTACCAAGGTGTTCACAAGCAAGATGTTCACACAATGAGACATGTGGAGGGTAAATTCACCTCTTCCGTCCCATGTTCCCTTGGAGGACACACACACACACACACACACACATACACACACACACACACCAGAATGCTTTGTGGAGATTGTCTCTTTTTTCTCTTTATGAGCAGGCAGGGAGGGCTGAATGCAAAAGTTGCAGGTGTCTGTGATGCGGCTTGGACACAGGGAAGTCAACAATCCTCTCAGTGGTCATCAGACTCAAGCTGGGGAACGCTTTTCACCTTCAGGTCTCCCAGGGATCAGGGCCAGGCGGCAGGCGCCCTTCCCCAGGCCCCCGACCCCGCAGCAGGCAGGCGCAGCTCTCCCCAGCCCTCCAGCCCCGACCTGAGGGACACTCCCAAACACTGGCTTCGAGAACTGATCTAAAGATTGAGTAATCTTTTTGCAGTTCTTTTGCAAGTCCGTGGTTTCCACTTTGCTACCTTCTACAAATGTGAAGAAAGGTCAGATGGACGCGTCAGCTGATAAATCAGTAAACATACTTTTTGATGACAGATTGTCACCTGATTTTTGCCCATTACTCAGCAGTATTAAGAATTGAGTGACTCTATTAAGATATTCCTTCCACTGCCAGCTATGTACTTATGTAAACAAGGCTTCTCTGCACTTATACAAAATAAGAATAGAATCGACGACAAAATTGGTCGCATCCTGGCAGTAACAGTCATTCATAGATACATAAATTCGTTGGGGGTGAAGAGGAAATCACCAGCTCATTAGGAGATGTATTTCCATGCAAATAAAAAACACAGTGTGATACCACTACAAATGACGACAGTTTTTTAAAAGCTGGAAGTGCCAAGGTATCAGCCTGTATGCAGAGCAGGTGAAACAATCATACCTTGATGGTGGGAATGCAGAATGGTGCAGTTACCGTGAATATTGTTAAACACAGACCTATATCACGTGTTACCATATGACCTAGCACTCTCACTCCTAGGTATTTTACTTAAGAGAAATGAAAATCGGGAATTCCCTGGCGGTCCGGTGGTTAAGACTCGGCGCTTTTGCTGCTGTCGGCCCCCGTTCGATCCCTGGTCAGGGAACTAAGATCCCGCAAGCAAAACAAAAGAAAAAGAAAAGAAAATATATGTTCACACAAAAACCTGTACATTCGTGTTTTTAGTAGCTTTATATTCATAATCGTCAAAAACTGTAAACATCTGAAATGTCCTTCAACTCATGAATGCTTGGAAACCTGTGGTACGTGCCTACGATGGAATTCTACTCAACGATCAAAAGCGGGGTCGGGGGAGTGGTCCACGTGGATGCTATGCTTTCTAAACAAGAACTGAATTCACACAGAATTTATATAAAATGTTAAATATACACAAGTTTAAATTTTAGGGACTTCCCTGGTGGCGCAGTGGTTAAGAATCCGCCTGCCGATGCAGGGGACACGGGTTCAATCCCTGGTCCAGGAAGATCCCACATGCCACGGAGCAACTAAGCCCGTGCGCCACAACTACTGAGTCTGCGCTCTAGAGCCCGCGAGCCACAACTCCTGAAGCCCACGCACCTATAGCCCGTGCTCTGCAACAAGAGAAGCCACCGCAATGAGAAGCCCACGCACCGCAACGAAGAGTAGCCCTCGCTCACCACATCTAGAGAAAGCCCGCGCGCATAGCAACGAAGACCCAACGCAGCCAAAAATAAATAAATAAGTAAATTTTAAAACAAGGGAAAGGCAAGTCTGCAGCCCAGTCCCTGAGAGACATTCATGGCAGTAACCAGAAAGGAGCTACTGGCTAAGAAAAGAAGAGCCCAGAACTTCCCAGGGGGCCCTCCCATCCCCCCTCAAACAGGCTGTCACAGACTCAGTCACTTTTTTAAAAGGTTTATTATTTCAACTGTGAATTATTTTTAAAAGATGATAAAATTCATTTCTCTTCCAGTAGAAAAGAGACAGAGGCTTGCCCTGGAGACCAGGAGCCCCGGGCAGACGGGTCACCCGACCAGACACCCAGGCTGATGGGCCCGGGGCTTCTCCACCTCCTCCCCGGCACCGAAGAGCTGAGGACCCTGGTGGGGGGCGGCTCGGGGCACAGCCTCCTGCCACCCCAGCCAGGGAGTGGCCGGCTCAGTATACATGATGATGTCAGTTTAGGCTGGAGGGAAGGGGCGCAGACACCCAAATCCGGCGCCTGTGTAGACTTCAGGGAGATCACGATCCTGCAGGGGGTTAAGGATGTGGTCGGAGGCATCTCCGTTTTGAGGCCCAGATGGGTGTCCAGTGGCCACAGCTCCAGGTCCGGGCTGGGCGCTGAGCCACGGCCCGCGGCCCACCTGGCTGGTGCACAAGCAGTCTGCACTCCTGGGCTAGGTCTCGGGACAGCGGCCACAGCCCCTCGGAGTAAAGGCCCTGTCCTGCCTGGGCGAGCCACCAGGCGGGGGCTGCAGTGTTTCGAGACTGATGGAGAGGACCGCTGGGGAGAGGTGACCTGAGTCCTCAAGAGCTCAGGCTCGCTCACCCAAGGGAGGGGACCCTGTGCCCACAACACCTGTGGTCGGGCCTGTGGATCACTTGGAGAGAAGGTTCCGGAACAGTGCTTGTTGACGAGCCTCTCCCCAAGTCCCCTCAGCAGCGGCTCCATCCCTGAGTGTCTGCACACACCTGTGCACACACGTGGACACGTGCTGGGGGTGTGTGCAGTGTGCGACAGGCATGTGGCAGCAGGGGGTGGCTCAGACTTTGGGATTAGTGGGCTGTCCGCTGAGAGAGTCCTGAAGAAGCGGGGTGTAGGGGCTGGAGAGCTGGTCTGGCTGAGTAGCCAAGCTGGGCTGGCTGGCGGCATCTTCGGGACCCTGTGGAGAAAAGGGGAGGTGCTGCATCACTAAGCCCCGCCCACCAAGCCCCGCCCGGACCCTGGCTCCGCCCCGTACATCCTCCACCAGCATGGAAACCCCCCTTGGAGCCCCCATCTGCACCCCCCCCATCAAGCTCGAGATGAGAGAAGACTGGAGTGACCTACAGACTCCTGGGACTCCACTACAAAGGGTCTCCTAATCTCATGAAACACCATCTTGCCATGCTCTCACCCATCTTAGAGATGGGGAAACTGAGACCCTAAGAGACTTGCCTAACACAGTGAGAAGGGCAGAGCAAGGAGTCCAGGGCTTATATAAGCAATACCGTTAACACAGAAAAGCTGGAAACCACCTAAATGTCCACTGATATCAGAATGCATTTAAAAGACAGAGTTACAAGATCGTAGTCAACCTACACAGCTGTCACACAGAAAACTGAAGAGGGGAAATCCAGCTGCGGAGTGATTCATATAGTTTGACACCACGGAGGTAAGCTTTTTAAAAATTATCTGTCGTTCGTGGATACATATATACAGACTTAGAGGGGAAGAAACATGCAAACACCAAATTCCTAGCGATGGATGTCTCTGGGGAGAGGGGGAGGGGCAGTGGGACTTGGCGAGGGGGGCAAAGGACACACAGGGAAAAGGTGAAATACGACAAAATGTTAGCCGGGTTGTTGGGTCTGGGTGAGAGGGAACTCAGAGCGTGCAGTTCATCTAGTTTTACATTTTTAAGTTTCTCAATTTAAGGAAAATTTTAAAGGTAGCCATGATGATAAGAATTGGGGGCAACTTTTCATCCCCCCAGGCCCTGGCTTCCTTCCCCTCGAAGAACGGAGACGCTTCCTTGCCCAGCAGCTGTGGTCGGAAAACCCCGGACGCCCCTACCCACCTGGGCCTTTGCTCACAACCCCCAGGGGCCTGCTTCACCGCGGGGTGGGGTAAATCAAACCCCACTCTGGGTGGGGAGCGTTGGGGGACTCCTGACTCCTTTCCTCGGGGACAGAGCTCAGGCTTCCGCGCACCGAGCCACATTCCAGCCAGGGGCAAGGAGGGGTGGGCGTGCGCCTCTGCCGACACACCCCCCGACACACAGGCAGCATGGGACAGCGGGGGTCGGGGGGCGGGGGATTCTTAGCGATGTGGGCCCAGAGAGCCACGACTGGAGAAAGCCTCGCTCAAAAGTGCAAAGGGGAGGGCTTCCCTGGTGGCGCAGTGGTTGAAAGTCCGCCTGCCGATGCACGGGACAGGGTTCGTGCCCCGGTCCGGGAGGATCCCGCATGCCGCGGAGCGTCTGGGCCCGTGAGCCATGGCCGCTGAGCCTGCGCGTCCGGGGCCTGTGCTCCGCAACGGGAGAGGCCACAACAGTGAGAGGCCCGCGTACCACAAAAAAAAAAAAAAAAAAAAAAATTGCAAAGGGGAAACTGTCTTCCCAAGAAAGACACATGTACAAACCTTCAGGGAATACACTTCCGTTTAACTGAGGAATGAGGACTTGGAATTAACGAGAGAAATCATGAGACTGCAAGAGGTGATCCTGGAACATGTCCCTGAAGGGCTGCCCAGTACCATTGTCCAGGCTATTCACTGCACAAGGGCACCCAGCCAAGTGGGTATAAACGGGGTGTACTCTGTTTGCCAAGCCCTCAGCCCTAAAGCAGGCCATGTCTGCACAGAGGAGCTGTCCTTTCTTACTCACACAAAAACACCCTTCTGGGCTAGTGGAGGCCCCATGTCCTCCCTTTCCTGGAGCAAAGCAGCCCCTCAAGGCCACCCCCCGTGCCCAGACGCGGGGCAAGGTATAGGACCGTCCCCAGGGACTCAGCACAGGCTAGAGGCCGAGCTGCAGGGATTCCAGGTCTCCAGGACCACTGGCCGCTTCCCAGGTGTCTGGTCCCCTAAAGCAGACCCGACAGGACACTGCCTTCCCCAAGTACACGTGACCGGGGGGTAGGGGTCTCATCCGGGCCGAAGGCTGACCTGTCTTCCAGAAGACAGAGCAGTAGCATCTCTTTAATCAAAAACTTCCCTAATAACTTGACATTTGGATTCTGCTGGTAAATCACGAAGAGACTCCAGCTTTGGTTTTGTTTTATTTTTATTTTGGGGGGGGGCAGGGAGCAGGACATCCTGGCTGTGTCCAGGGAGGTGCAGCCATGGGGCTGAGACCTCACGAACACCAGCTCTATCTATGCTAAAAGCAAATAACCCCCATCTCTGTGCCTGAAGACCCCACCCCTGCACCGCGAGAACGCCAGGCAAGTTTCTGCAGAAGGGAATCGTGGCTGCAAGGGGGCAGGGGTGCCAATGGGGCCAAATTGTACACAAGAAGGGCGTCCCAAGAGGAATTCTGGGAGAGAGGAAGGCAACGGGGGGCTCGTCTCCAGCTAGGACACCCTGCCCCCTAAGCTCAGGAAGACAACCCCCTTAACACCCAGCCCTGACGTGGTCGGGCTCTCTTATCCCCAGATCGGCAGTAGGAGCCCCCCAGAGCCTGGCTGGGGGCACAGCGGTCCCTCCCTCCCGCTCCTTGCAGGGCTGGCAGTACCTGCCAACACACCCACCCACGCCCAGCGCCCATGTTCTATTTTATCTCCTCCTCCGGCCCTGGCAATCCAAGCAAACTGGAAGCCGCCAACTGGTCCCAAAGAGTAGGGCTGTCACCTCATCCCCAGCCTGTGGCTCTCAGGAAAGCTATTTAAACCCGAGCAGGCCCAGCCCCAGAAGCTGGAGAGGTGGTACATTTTTCAGAAACCAAAAGCTATAATCCGAGGCATAAGCATAGGGCGACTCACCCCCGCCCAAACCCCAACCGTAGGGCCCAGAGCTCTGCCTGTCACATCCCCTGGCGGGACTTGGCTCTCCTAAGACCTCAGACCTAAAGGAACACAGCCCAGGAGGTGAACCCCCAAAGGCACTAGCCTCCGTCTCCCGCAGGTAGGCTGCCCGATGAAGGAGGGCAGCCAGTTAAATGTGAATTTCAGGTAAACAGCAAACAGTTTTTCAGTAGAAGCGTGTCCTGATAATTCCATGGGACACACTTAGGCTAAAAATCATTCACTGTTTCCCTGAAATTCACATTTAACTGAGCGTCCATTTGTTGTTGTTGTTTCTGGGGCTGCTTGTTTTTGCTCAGTCTGGCAACCATACCCTCAGACCGAGTCCTAGATCTACACTTGGTGCCCAGGTGATGCCTAAATTCTTTTGTCTTGGCCAGTCATCCGGATTTATTTAAACTTATCTACATCAGGATCCTGTTAGGGGGCCACTAAAATACAGATTCCTGGGCCCCACCCATGATGCTATTCCAAGAGGTCTAGAAGGATGTCTGTGGTTCTGCATTTTTTCGCAGACTTTCCCAGAAGAGTCTATATCGCACCAGAGGTTTGAGAAGCAGCTGAGACCTAAACCTCGATCCTGCCTTTCTAAGACAACCTTGCAAACAAGACACCAGCCCACTAGTCACCCTCCATCGCCTACCACGCCTGGGATCACTCGGAACGTAAGAAGACAACAAAATATACAAATACGTATTTTCAATCTGTAGACACTCCAGGTGAAGTTCAGGCTGAAGAGATGTGTGAGATCCCAAGCGTTTCAAGCCGCCAGAGTTCTACTCACTATGGGAGGGGATGGGGGGCGAGAGGCGTTACCTGGTACCCACCTACAGTCTTGCTTCTTGCAGTACAGTCCCCTTGGGAGCTGATGTCATCAGGGATTCAGAATAGGCCTGAATGGCCTCCTTATCCTTTGAGCCCTTTTTACTACTACTCCAAAATAAATAGCACTTCTCCTAGAAGATAACCAAGCTAATTTATAGTTGACGTTGCAGCCGAACACACACGGTTTTTACACGGTTCTCCGATTTTCAAAAAGCAGAGGGTGGGGTACAGAGTTCTAGAGTCCAACCACCATTAATGACTGGAGTTGGCTGAGACCTGGGGAGTGATGGTGTCTTTCACCAAAGACAGAAAGACGAGCATCTTCAGGAAACACACTTGGTCAGACGGGCAAGCCGAGCTGAAAAGGGTTTGTCAGCCTGAAAATTTGAGCCGAATCACGGAGGGGAGATGGGCCGTGCTGGGCAGGGTGGATTGGCCGAGACTCAGAGAGCTGAGCAAGTGGCATTTTAAGTCTCGTGCTCCACTGACTGAGCTAGTGGGTGGCATTTTAAATCGACCAGAAACAGCGACATTTCTGTCTAAAAAAAAAATTTTTTTCTTTCAAGAATGACTTGACAAGAAAAACGTCTTTGAAGAGAAATTAAAATACATTGAGTTTAACGACATGCCATTCTTTTTTTTTTTCCTCCCCTATCAGGACAGATACATAAAAACACGTAAGGCCTAACCCCTGCTAAACCAAAAAATACATAATGGGATAAATTTCAACGACTGGGCCTCCAGCAGAACCTGCGGGGAGGGGCCTCAACCATGGTCAGTGGAGACGATGATATTCTTATCGGATATGGGGACACGGATGGGGGGTGTGAAGCAGGGAAGCTTTCACATTGTTCATCCTCACCGTCTTCCCCCTCCCCCTTCTGACGGACCATTAGGAGAGACAGAGGGCAGAGGCTGTCTGGTCCAGCCCCTCACCGCTGCTCCCCTGGGCCTCACTCCTGGAAACCCATGCTGGCCCCAGGGAGGCATCCATGGGTTGGGGGCTAGGGCTTCTGGCCCCTCTGTCCTCCCAGCATAATTCATTCCAAAAACCCTAGGGAGTTCCCTTCTGCTCTGGCTGGGGCAGTGACAGAGGACCGAGCCCCCAACGTTCACTGGGGGCTCAAAACACCAGAGGCCCTGGTACCCTCACACCAGTGCAAACCTTTTCCCCCAGAGGACTGGGAATTTGGAAGGGAAATCAGGTTAAGGGTCTGAAAGCCCAGGTTAAGAGCCTGGAAAGGTTTATCCTCGCCCCAGCAAACAAGCAAGTTAAGCGAGCGAGCGTGCGAGCTGCCTCCGAGGAAGAGGAAGAAGAGAAAACGCTGTTGGCTGGAGCTGAAGCAAGAAAGCAGGCGTTGCAGGTGGCCCGAGGGGCAGCAGGGGAGCTGGGCAGCCCCCGACCGAGGCTGAGGCCTGTGGCTCCAGGACAACTCGGGGGGCAGGGGGCACCGGGGGGGCAGGTTCTGGTTCATGGATTCAAAATGGCCTTTCAAGACTCCCTGCCACTGAGCAGGGTCCCCTGTCCACCAGGTAGCTGCCCACCCATCCCCGCTGCCCCGGGGGCCTTGCATCCACGGGCCTTGTCACCATGTGACGGCAGTAACTTGCTTAAAGCCCCCTGGTCTCCGGACCTCACATCCTACTCATGTCTGTATCCCCAGAACTGTGCACAGTGACCCCCCCATAAGCTGTGAAGGTGTCAGTGAATGCCATGAATGAATGAATGATGCAAATCAAGAAGGTGTATTTGTTGGAACTTCCCTGGTGGTCCAGTGGTTAAGACTATGCACTTCCACTGCAGGGGGCATGGGTTCGATTCCTATTTGGGGAACTAAGATCCTGCATGCCTCACAACGCGGCCAAAAAAGGGGGGCATTTGTTGTCGCCCCCTCTTTTTCCTGCCTCTGAATGGTAGATGCCCCAGGGCTGGCTCTTCAGGGCTCTTCTCCATCCGTGCTCCCTTCCCCAAATACCTGCTCCTATCCTGGTCCAAGCCACCGTCCTCGCTCACCTGGGCCTCTTCACTGGTCCCCCTGCTTCCGCTCTCCCATCTGAAGACCAAGCGGCCACACGTTAACTGACCTATTCACTCCTCTCCTTTACAGCTTCCAACAGCTTCCCGTCACCCCCAGAATCAGTTCCAAGCTGCTCACCCTGCATTACAGGACCAGGCATGACCTACGTCGGCCTCTCAGACACCACCTCCTCCCCCGCTGCCCCCATGCCCACTCCCCTCCAGCCACCCTGGCCCTGCGGGAGCCTCCAACACACCTCACCCACCCCTGCCTCAGGGCCTTTGCACTGGCCATTCCTCCACCCGGAGCACTCTTTCCCTGACTCTGTGCTGAGCATTCACTTCTAAGCTTAAATTCAACCTCTTCCGAGAAACCTTTTCTGACATTGTCTCTATAGTTGTCGCCAACGCCCTTGGGTGCTGCGGTGTCCAACTTGGTAGCCACATATGGCCGTTGAGACTTTGAAAAGGGGCGAGTCCCAGTCAAGACCTGATGTAAATACACAGCGGATTCCAAAGACTTAACCAGAAAGAAAATGTAAAAAATTTATATTTTTTATATTGATTACACGTGGACATGGTCATATTGATATTTTGGATATATTCGGGTTAAATAAAAGATATGATTAAAATTAATTCCCTTTTACTTAAGGTGGCTATTAGAAAATTTAAAATCACACACGTGGCTCATGTTGTATTCGTATCAGACAGCACTGCCCTAAGCCCATCACATTTTCTATTATCATCGGTGAAATCATCTCTTCTGTTTATTTACTTGGTTTCCACCTGTCTTTCCAACTAGAATGCCAGTCCCCGCACCCCCCTTCCCCCGGGAGTAGCAACTGCCTTGTTCACTGTCGTGTCCCTGTACCTGCCAGAGCCTGAAAGCCAGCAGCTGCTGACTTGAAGAACAAACCATTCAAGTACCAGGTCTCCTGATCCAAAACCACCTGCAGCCCCTCCAAGGGAGGGTCTCCAGGCCTCCCAGAACAGGCAGAGAAGTGGCAACAGAACATGCAAGAGAAGCAAGGATGCGGCAACAGCTCCCCAGCCCAGGCGGAGACCTAGGACTGCCGCCCGAGGCGGGCTGCAGGCTGAAGGTGTCCGTGGGCACAGCAGTAAGGGGCTGCTGGGGGATCTGATCTGAGCCCCTCCTTCCCCCAAGCAGGCAAGCAAGGGGCCACTCGGCCCCGGCCAGGCTCTGGCCACCACCTACTTGGCTCCGGATTTGGTAGACGATGGGGATGAGCAGCAGGACGCAGCCCAGGGCAAGGAGCACGTACTGGGCATAACGCAGCACCTTGGGCATCAACACCAGCTGGGTGTAGAACGTCTGAAGGGTCTCACCCTCCATTGCCCCGCTCTGGCGAAGGAGAAAGACAAACAAGTGGACTGGTGCCACGTACTGTGGGCTGAGGGTGCAGACGCCACCCCACACCACACCCCTCTGTCCCCCAACCCCTTTCCCATCTCAAGCCCACTGGCCAGAGCATGCGATGGATGGAGCCAGCCATGCCTCTTATTTCCTCTGGGGCCACACAACAGGACTACATTTCCCAGACTCCTTGCAGCTAGGCAGGCCCATATGACTTGTTCTGGCCAATGGGATGGGGGCACAGTGATGCTGCAACTTCCACGCCTGGCTCCCATATGATTCTCTCCATCTCTTTCCCAATTTACTGAATGGAGACGGATTCTGAAGATCTCCGAGAGGGCAGGACCAGAAGATGGAAGGAGCCTGGATGTCCCTGAATGTCTGCGTGGAGCAGAGCTCCGCCTGCCCCCCATCAGACTGTGATGTGAGTGGGAAGTGAGCTTGACATCTGAAGCCTGTCTGATCCAGCGGTTAGCTCACCCTGATTTAAAACGAGCTAAGCCAGAAGGAACCCTGAAAAGCTGGGAGAGAAGAAATTTCAATAAAAAGTTGACACCCTGAAAACCAACTTCCCTTCATCTCAGGAGAAGGGGCCATGTGCATTAACAAAATTATTTTACACCCTGACCAGGGACTTTACAGTTTCATGCAGCTCCTGTGTTCCTCATCTCGTGTGATCCTTTCAACCCAGTGGGATAACTGACATAAAGTGCTTAGAGAGGGCGAAGTTTCTAACAGATGGTTCTGCATTACTCAGTCCAGCTCCCCCAGCCTAGCCTCCCCACCACACACAGCCTCCTGCCCCAAATGCCCACATCAACTCCTCACTGAGGCATCAGACACCACGCCCTCGGGTGCCCAGTACCCGGGGAGAGGGAAGCAGCCTTACCTCTCCAAACCACATCAGTGGCAGGATCACCGGCTCGATCTTCCCAGTTTGTCTGGAAATAAGCGAGACCAAGCAAGTGAGAAGTTATGTCAGGGTGTCTTAGATCAGGCAGCTCTGGACCTGCGATCGGAAGCCCCAGGGTCAGGAGGGATTTGACGTTGCAGCAACTTGGTCGGCATGGGCTTGAGCGATGGGCATCTCCTGACAGGGCACAAACTGACGACCCAACAATATCTCTTTAAATGAAAAATTCTTACGTGGAGGGGCTGCCAGGGACCTAGCTGATACCCATGTGTTCTTTTTTTAGAAACAGAATCCCGATCTTATTCCGGATGGCAATACGCCCAGAAAACAAACAACACGGTTTATGCTGATCACTTGCTTTCCTTTGGGGAGTCTGGAATCTGGGTCCGTGCCAAGCAGAAGGTGCCTACGTGACCAGCCCCCAGTAAACACCCTGGGTGCTGAGTTTCTACTGGGCATCTCTGGTAGGGGACATTTCACACATGTTGTCACAACTTGTCACTGGGGAAATGAAGCGTGTCCCGGTGTGACCCTCCTGGGAGAGGGCTCTAGAAGCCTGTGCCTGGTTTCCCCAGACTTCACCCCGTGAGCCTTTTCCCTTTGCCAATTATGTTTTGAATCCTTTCTCTGTAGTAAATCACAGCCGTGACTATTAACTACATGCTGGGTCCCCTGAGTCTTCCCAGTGAATCATCAAACCCGAGAGTGGTCTTGGGGACCCCCGACACAGTCAGCTACTAGATAGCTGTGTGACCTTGGCCATGCTACTTACCCTCTCTGTTCCTCCTCTGTAAAATGGGGATTATAATGGACTCCTCACAGGGCTCTAGTGAGGACGGAACGTGACACCATGAAAAAAACCCAGCATATAAAAAGTGCTCTAGGGGAGTTCCCTGGTGGCCTAGTGGTTAGGATTCTGGGCTTTCACTGCTGTGGCCTGGGTTCAATCCCTGGTCAGGGAAATGAAATCCCACAAGCCGTGTGGCACAGCCAAAAAAAAAAAAAAAAAAAAGACATATAGTGCTCGATGTTTATTATTGTTGTCTTGTTGTCAAATGCCTGCAAACAACTGGACAAACAAATATTCTGTAACTTCACCATTCCTGGGTCTGCTTAAAGAAGGCACAGCTGGAGGGGAGCTGGTACTCTCTCAGGGGACAGGCACCAGAGCCAGCACAGAAGGTCAAAATCCTCAATCACAGTTCTCAAAAAGCGCTTGTTCAATAGAGTACTGTGCAGTGAAATGAATTTACACCGTATCACCTACAGAGGAGACAGACACGGAGGACGCTCTGGAAATACAATGGCGCATCCCCTTCACTTCAGCCTCTTTAATCTGAGTTTGTAAGAACCGATGTCAATTGAATGCACAGAGTGTGCAACCCTGCTGCCTTTATCTTGTGAGCAAACAGCACAAAAGTTCCTCAGACAAGTCACAGCCAGACAGCTCTGCTTCCGGGCGGGCGGCGGTGTCTCCAGACATTTCCCACACAGGTTCCTCGACAGCCCTGGGAGATGCTGACAAGCACTGCTGTTGGACCACCGCCCCTGGGACCACCATCCCAGCCCACAGGGGCAGCCAGGCAGCTGTGCGGCCTTGGTTCCGAACAGATGGGAACACAGAGGCCCGGAGACATCAGGGTGGTGGCTCAGGGCCACCAGCAGGCAGAATCCAGCCACCCAGACAGACTGCTGGCTTGAGCAGCATTCGTCAAAAATCTGACTGAACTCCCAACAGGTGAAATGTGTGTTAACATCCAGATTTTGAAAAATGCATTTGCAAATGCATAGGATGTGGCCACACTGAGTGCGTGGGCCCTGGCGCTGGACAGAGGCTGGCCCTTGGTCCCATCCCCACGGGTTCCACTTAGTCACCTGCCGGCCCTGCACATCCAAGTTAGCAGCCCAGGCGCTGAGGGACGGGAGCCCTGTGGAGCTCACGTCTGGGCAGCAGACACCTAATGCACGCGTGGGGCTGTTTCACCCGCCACAAACGCTTCAGGAACAAGCTCTCTGAGCAGCCTCAAAATGTAAAAATGAAAAGCTAGTGGGGGAGTAAGGATGAGCTGCACTGACAGGCTCACCAGCTCAGACAAAGCGTTATTCTTTCCAGCTGAGAGGTGTCTCACAAAGCCAAACAGATGCTCACATTCCTGCAGCCCAGCAATCTTTCTGGGGGAATTTTTTTTTTAATGAAACTATTTCAAATATGCTAAGAAGTACAGGGGACTTCCCTGGTGGTCCAGAGGTTAAGACTCTGTGCTTCCAAGGCAGGGGACACGGGTTCGATCCCTGGTTGGGGAACTACGATCCCGCATGCCACACAGCGCGACCAAAAAAATTTTTAAAAATAAAGAAGTACAGACCCTGACGTAACGACCAGTGTGCTCCCTCACCCAGCTCTATCCTAACTCGATGTTATAACAAGAGCTGGCAAGGATGTAGAGACACTGGCACCTCCCACGCTGCTGGTGGGAGTGTAAAATGTCGCAGCCACCCTGGAAACCAGTCTGGCAGCTCCTGAAACTCTTAAACATAGAGTCACCATATGACCCAGCAATTCTGCTGCAAGGTATCTACCCAAGAGAAAACATACATCCACACAGAAGCTTTAAATATTCAAAGCGGCACTATTCATAATGGCCAAAAAGTAGAAACAACCCAAATGTCCATCAACTGATGAATAAAAACATGGTCTTTCCATGCAATGGAATGTTATTGAGCCATAAAATGGAATGAAGCCGTGACACAGGCCACAACATGGATGAACCTTGAAAACATCATGTTAAGTGAAAAAAGCCAGACACATATTATATAATTCTATTCCCATGATATGGCCAGAATAGGTAAGTCCACAGGAACAGAAAGTAAATTAAGGGTTGCCTGGGGCTGGGGAAATGGGCAGTGACTGCTAAAGGGTGTGGGGTTTCTTTGGAGGGGGTGGATGGAAATGTTTCAAAATTGATTGGGGTGATGCTGCCCAGCTCCGTGAATGTCCTACAAATCACCGAACTGTGCACTTTTAAAGGGTGAGTTTTATACTGTGTGAATTAAATCTTGATAAAGCGGTTACTGAAAACCAACTCCAAAAAAAGAAAAAGAAACCCAGTGCTTAAAGAATTCCTCCCATCAAGTGAACGGTCTCACTTCAGAAGACTGTTTGCTAAGTTTCCACTTACAGACACTTGGTTTTGGCAGGATTTAATTTTTGCTACTCTGTCGAATGGGAGACAGCTTGGATGGAAGAGTCTGGCTAATTTGGGGGACAAATGTCAAGAGAGTACAGGGCAGGGATGTCAGGATGCAGTCTGGGCTCGGCTGAGAGCTAAGACCCCCCTCAGGGGTTCAAGGGGCAGGGACCAGATTCCATATCCCGAAGGACCATCTCTGTCCCCAGATGCCAGGTTCCGAAGGACATGGCCAGAGTCCCGAGTCCCTGATCTCTCAACAGCAAGGCAGCCCGGGGCTCCCAGACCCCACTCACCCGATGCCTTTCACAGACTTAATGTAGAGGCTCAGCTGCAGTTTCACAGAGCAGTTCATGGGGATTCCGGTGACCTGCAGTGACAAGAGCAGTGAGGGGCCCGGCTTCCCTGGAGCCCTGGGGACCCCTTCAAATGGCCCTCTCCCTGGTCACGCTCAAGAGGGTACGTATCCCAAATGAACTGCCCATCCGATGGGGCTTCCGCTACCCATTCAAAGCCCTGATGGGTAAACACATGTTCCCCAAATGGCTCTTACGTCCACGACCTCGAGGGATCCCCTCTGGTGAGCCAGCCTCGCTCTGGATGGAAAAAGAACTAACCCTTTCCATCTGTTCTCTTGCATAATGCATCCCCCAGTGCAGAAGGACGTTTCCCAGTCATCGCCCCTCCCTCCAGCCTCCAAATAAAATAAAATAGATTTACATGTTAATAAAGTCACTGTCTTCTCCATTCACCCCCCATTCCCTCCCCACCAGCGTCTCAAAGAGAAAGTCTGCAGGGAGCTGGCTCGGCCCCTGGTGCCTCCGCAATACACCCCCACCCGATCTCCTTTTCAGCAGAGCTGGCCTCAGGCTCGCGCCAAGGGCAGGCGGCGCTATTTTACAGAGAGCCTAGAGCTATTTTGCTTCTTTACTTGGACAGTTTTCTTTTCTTTGGCTGCACTGCACAGCTTGTGGGATCTTAGTTCCCCAACCAGGGATCGAACCCGCGCCCCCTGCTGTGGAAGCGCACAGTCCTAACCGCTGGACCGCCAGAGAATTCCCTATTCAGAGACACTTTTAATTTCCGATTTGAGGTCGTGATAGAAAGCTTCCTTTGTGCAGGATTTTTTTTTTTATGAGATTTTTTTTTTTTAAGTAGTAAGTCAATAACACAAAAAGTGACACACGTATAAGACCAAAACCAGGAAGGTGCTTCCAGAGTGATGTCAGGAAATGAGAGTGGAAAGGAACCTAGGTTTGAGGACAGACTGCTGCTTCTTAGCTGAGACTCTTCTCATCTGGAAAGTGGAGACAACTCTGCCCACCTCACAGGGTTTCTGCAAGGGCAAAATAAGGGATGCAAGACAGCCACACTCAGAGCTATAAATGCTGTGTTGTTACCACATACACCAGTGGGAGAGGGCATTATCTTCCAATATAGCCTGGCATCCTGAGGTCCTTTGGGACCCCAGGGGTACAGAGCAACTGGCCAAAGGCCGTGCTCCCAGGACAGAGAGAACCCGGTGGGATGGGAGTGAGATCTTGAACTTGAGAACCCGGTGGGATGGGAGTGAGATCACCCGTGTGCAAAAGAGCCAGCAGGGGTGAGGCTGCCCTGCTAGCAAGGCTGTCCCTGGCTGGTGTCAGCGATCCTGGATTTCAGGAGGGCTCCCACCTCTCCCTGACAGATAAGAGGGGCTCACTGTACCAGGACAGTTTGTACAAACACTGTGGTTTATGCTGACACCTGATTTCCTTCTGGGAGTCCGGAATTTCGGTCTGTGCCAGGTAGACAGCACCTATATGACCAGCCCCAGTAAGAATCCTGGGCACTGAGTCTCTACTGGGCGTCCCTGGTAGAGGACACCTCACTCGGGGAATGAAGGGTGTCCTGTGTGACCCCTGCCCTGGGAGAGGGCTCTGGGAGCCTGTGCCTGGTTCCCCCAGACTTCGCCCCGTGCGCCTTTCCCTTTGCTGACTGTGCCTTGTGTCCTTCACTGCAATTCATCACCGCTCTGGGTACCACCATATGCTGGGTCCTGGGAGTCCTCCTAGCAAATCCTCCAACTTGGGGGTGATCTTGGAGACCCGACACATCCTGCTTTCTAGACTCTACATTCTGGGGTCTCCACTCAGGCCACTTCCTTCTCCAGGAAATGTGTCTCCTTCCTTCCTTGACTGTCCAGCCTCCTCTTCTTGGGCAAAGCCCCGCCTGTCCCCCACCACCCCGCAATCTCAGAACAGAAACTTGGACCCGTGAGCCCACGTCTGTCACCACACACACACACACACACACACACACACACACACACACACACACAC